TATTGCAATCATTGGGGTCTCCAGTGCTTTGCGACCAGCCACTAAGCAGGAGAAAACGGCTTTTATTTGGTACAGTGATTGCCAAAAGGTTGATTTTGAGATTTTGGAAAAAAGACTCTGTGCCCACATTTGATCTCTGGTTGGGGGAACTAGCAAAATACTCTGCATCTGGAAAGACTGAGATATTAGAATGAAGATAAAGTCAGTGTGTTTGAGAAATATGGAATCCTGTATTAAAATCCCTTCAATGAAAAAACTGTTAATGACAGACCTGCCACAGTTGAGATCTTGTACTCACTTTGTGATGTACTTATGTTGTTGACTTTGTAAGTGCTTTATGATGTGCCGATTTGGGAGGGTAAGGAATGGGTGGGAATTTGATCTGTTATGTTAATCTATGTATGTCAGTATGTAAAATTTAATAAATAAATTAAAAAAAAAAAAAAATTCTGATTAAAGATTTTTTTTCTTCTGGCTTTCCATTCAGCTTTCTGAGGCCCGCAGCGCCCTCTGGTGGCCTCCCACAGTAATGCACATGACTTCAGATTTGATCTGCTTTCATGGTTTTCATGTGATTTAAATGATTGTAAAGGTTGACAATCCTGCAGATATTGTGGCAGTAAAGTGTTGAGTCTGTGTCAGTGAACATTCAGTGAAGACACAATAAACTGCAACATTTAACTGAAAATAATTCAGAGAAACGGATGTGGAGCTCGATGTTTTTCTGGACCTCAGAAAAAGAGCTGAATCGTGAATTTTTTAGCTCATGAAACTAAACACTGAGTCGTGTCCTCGTTCTCAGACTTTCCCTCCAAAGCTGGTGCTGCTGGACTTCGGAGACATGGACGGCATGGCGGAGGCGGTGGCAGAGGTTCTGGACTGCTACGGCTGCTTGGACATCCTCATCTTCAACAGCAGCATGAAGGTCAAGGCTCCGGCACAGAGTCTGTCTCTGGAGACGGACAGGCTCCTCATGGACATCAACTACTTTGGACCCATCACTTTGGCTAAAGGTAGCTGCCTGGAACGTGTTTAACTTGATGTTCGTTTCATTTCTGTGTTGATGGGTCGTCTGTTTCAGGTGTGCTGCCCTCCATGGTCTCCAGGAGGAGCGGTCACCTGCTGCTGGTCAACAGCATCCATGGGAAAATCGCCGTGCCTTTCCGCACCGCATGTGAGTTGGAACTAAATGATTGACTTCATAAAGCAGTCACACAGATGAGCCAGCAGGTTAAAACCATGAAGCTGTTTCTCACTGGTTCCAGCATCATAATTCTCCTCATAAAGTTTCAGATTGTGACGAATATCCTGATTAACAACACCAGTTTTCTAATTAGTCACTATTTTCAAGGCTTGGTGTAGAAAAAGCAACACCAAAAGAACATGATGCCGACTTGAAACACGGTGGTGGCAGCATCATGCTCTGGGGTCGGTTTGTCAGTGGTTTTTCCCCAACAGAGAACATGAGAATAAATTAAAACAGGGGTGTCAAACTCATATTGGTTTAGGCGCCGCATACAGCTTAATCCGATCTCAAGTTAATTTTGAAATTAACTCATTTCAAAATTAAATAGAACTAATCAAAGTGGACTCGTTGATTTTTATATTAAACAAATTTCACTTTTACAAAAATATATTATGAATAACTTAAGACTTTTTAAGAAAAGTATATACAATTTCAACATTAATTTTACTCAGTTAAACATTTATTTAAGTGCATTATGCATAAGAACTGATCACAGTGATTGTACAAAGTTACAAAACATTTATTCAGTTTTTGGAACTTCAAACACTGTCCTGCATGACAAAATACACCAAACAGATAAAAATTAAGAAATGATTTAAAATCAATTTTCTACATCTGGGAAGCAATTTAATCAAATTAGTGAGCTTCACACATTTGAAATTTTAAGTGTCAGGTGTTTTAAACAGACATTGGATTAAGTACATCTGTCGCCTTTCTTGTTGATGCATAAAATATATACATATAGAAAAACTTTCATACATAACATGTATTGCATGCATGAGAAATATTTCACTCAGCAAACTGACGACGACTGAGAAATTAACAGTTCGGAGAATCACCTTCATGACATGGTGCATTTTAGCGACTTGCAGCATAATGCTTCCTGATGCAAAATACAATGAAATGTCCAAAACTCCCCCCTTTATTTACAGCTTTCTGAACTTTGTCACAACACCTGTCTTTTTCCCAATCACTGACGTCGCACCATCAGTAGCGAGGCTTACGGCGCGGGACCGGTCCACCCGGCGCGGGACCGGTCCCGCTCCGGGTGGACCGGTCCCGCTCCGGGTGGACCGGTCCACCCCGACTCGGTCCAGCGCTCCAACAACGGAGCGGAAAATGTCTTCAGATGTCATGGTGTCGGTCATGGGCACCAACTGGAATCTCCTCTGTGACAGTGAACGTCTCATCAACAGTTGAGCGACATCCGCAGCATCAGTACTCTCTCTCATCACTGGCAACAGAAAATGCCAGAAATGACTCCGTTTTGCGTTTGAGCTGGTTGTCCAAATCTGCTGATAGTTCGGAAATCCTGTCAGCAACGGTATTTCTAGTCAAGCTAATATTGGCAAAAGCTTGTCTCTTCTCAGAACACACAACTTGAACAGCTTCAGCATGCAGTTCCCGCACAGGAAGGCTTTGATGCTAACGCTATTTGGCTAGCAGTTAGCTAGCTGGCTTTCACCGCAGCATCACTGGCCTCTCGACTCCGGGTGAAAACAGATTGCTGTTTCCTCAGACCGTCAACATTTCATTTATCTTCTGATTTCTCAGTTCCTTGCAAGTGCTTGTATTTTCCACCATGCTGAGTTTCATAGTGGCGGTGAATATTGTATTCCTTAAGCACCGAAACCTACTGCAGGCAGACAAGGGACACGGGTTTTCCATTCACCTCCGTGAACAAATAGGAAGAAGTCAATTTTTCTTGAAAAATCCAACACTCCGTGTCTACCTTTCTCTTTTTTGACAAAGACATGTCTTTGATGAGGCTGCCGGGGCCAAAATAAAACGCTGAGAAAGGATAGAATCGAAGCTGTTTGCAGAACCTGAAGCTCAGTGCTGCCATCTGCTGTTAGTTCCGATGTCTGCTCTGAATAAAACGGCGCCCCTCGTGGACGATATAGGAATTGCAGATTTTCAATTAAACGAAGTGTATGAGTTTTTTTTTTTTTTTTTTTTTTTTCAATTATAATGGTCCGGCTGGGGGCATTTAGACCCCGGGCCGGACTAAATCGTTCGGCGGGCCAGTTCCGGCCCGCGGGCCGTATGTTTGACACCCCTGAATTAAAATAAACAAAATGATGAGTGAGTCCAGGACGTCCGCTTGACTTTCCTCCTCTGATAGATTCTTGTTTTTTCAGCTTAATAATACAAGATGAACTCACATTAGAGGTGGAAATGATTCAAAAAGCTCCAGTTTCAACAGAGACTTTTTAGAGACGTAGGCGTCACGGGGATCCGGCGACGTCCTAGTTAAAGTTTGCCTGATGAAACCCTGCCAGTTTTGGTGGGAGGTTGTGATCGGAGGAGGTTTTTTTCCAGACGCAGCTTCCAAACATGCAGTCCAGGCGTTCTTTGACTGCCTGAGAGCCGAGGTGGAGGAGCTGGGCGTCTCCGTCAGCACCATCAACCACACCTTCATCAGCCGCTCGGCGGTGCCGGCGGCGCCGGCCTCCACATCCCTGCTGTGGCCCCGTGAGTAAAACAGGTTTAAACCCAAACTGTGTTTGGAGACTGAAGATCTGTGCTGTTTCTGCAGTTCTGCTCAGCAGGAAGCCAGGCGGCGTTTCTCCAGACGAGGTCGCCGCTGAGATCGTCAGGACGCTGAACAACAAGAGGAAAGAAGTGCTGATCGCTCCCTCGCTTCCCAAGATGGCCATTTATGCCAGATCGTTCTTCCCCAACGTTTTCTTCGCTGTGATGGCTGCAGGGGTGAAAAACTCTGCTGCCTCTGAGAACATGTGAAGATCAGCGACCTTTTAGAGAAAGTTATTTATGGTTTATGGTTGAAAATGACTTGAAATCGTTTCACCATTTAACCCTCGTTTAGAATCCCGCCTGATTATTGGTTTGATTCAGGGGGAAGTTTTCTCTCCAGCTTGTTATTGTTGTTGTGATATAATAACAGCAGTTATTATATCACAAGCAGTTATAACTGTTATAAGTTATTATATCACAATAGAATAACGGTATAACTGCTGTTGTGATGTAATAATTGGACTGTTTGGTGTGTCTCAGATAAGAATTATGTAAAAAATGCTGCTAAGCATTTTGTGTAAAATGATTCAACAGGTTCCCATAATTTATGTCTATTTTTAGTATTTTTACCTTGACTGGGTAAAAACATGATTCATAAACACTGCAAATATTTAAACTAAACATACATTACAACTTTCTGAGATTGTAAAACATAAATGAAGGTGATGACAATTAAATCTTGTCAAATGTACTTAAATAAATCTCTAAATTTAATCAAAAGCCTCTTGTTTTAGTTTAAGAATTATTTTATATACACATACTTTAGATTTTTTAGAACATAACAGATGAAACTTATTTTATTTTTCCTCCATTTTCAAGTCAATTTTGTTTTGATTAAAAATAAAAAAAACTTTTACAAAGATCAAATTACTCATTTTAATTCAAATATATGATGTTAAAGTTTGTATTGAATTTGATTCATTTTATTCTTTACCCTCAAATATATATTTTTCTTCGTTTAAGGTGAATATTTATAAGACTACTTTATATCTTGTTGCATTTATTTCAGTTTCAAGGTTACACAATAATATAGACTTTTATTTTTTAAATCACGGATTGTTTCCTTTCATTCAGAGTGATTTTATAGATTCCATATCTAAATATCGTTCATGGTTTGTAGATACAATATTTTGAGGTCAAAAGTACGTCACCATGATTTCTGCGTGTTTTGCGCCCTCTGGCGGACAAACTGCAGAGAGCCTGCTTGTGACCACACTGCGCATGTGCGGGGTGTCGACCGCGTTAAATGGCCTCAAAAATAACTTCCAGACTCTTCGGACTGACTCGCCGGGTCGTTTCCTGCCATTCCGCCTCCTGCAGCAGCAGCAGCAGCAGCGGACGGTTTCAGGTCCAACATGACCGCCAGAACCGGCGCTTCACGGTCACTGCGGGCAGCAGCGGCGAAGGTAAACCTCCGCCGGAGAGAAGCTCTGCAGGCGGGTCCGCTGGAGGCTCGGCGGGTCCATATGCATTACATCATCTCCAGCAGAAACAGTCCCGTTTTTATTCCCGCCGCTGAATTTAATCTCAGTTGTTTTCATAGAGAATTACGTTTAGATTGATGTCATTTTAAGATACCGTCTGTTTTAACCACTGATGTCTGAATGAATGCAAGTTAAACCAACCGGGTCTAACCGGGTCAACCTCAATGGTTCAGAAGCCCAGCTGGTGGGTTATTATTATGGGTCTCATTGAAATGAGAACCAAAGGTTCATAGAACAGACTCAGTCCTTATGTAAAAACTGGACCAGGGTTCCTGCTCGAGTTTTAACCGCAAATATCTCTTAAAATAGGACAAAACTAACCAAGTAACTTTACAGCAAGAAATATGTGCTGGTTTAAGGCAGTGATTTTATAATATTGATGAAAAAGAACTAGCTTCACTGGCAGATTATTGGTCTGTCTGTTCTATGACGTCATTATTTATGTTTTTGTTGACAGTATTGCTGCACATTGACCCAGTGAAGTGTGTTTCTGTTCTCCCAGGGGACAGTGAATGCGCCGTGCTGCACTACAGGTTCACCGGGCAGAAGGAGGTGGACCTGATCTCCACGTTCGTCCCTGAAATGTTTCGAGGCCAAGGCATTGCTGCTGCCCTGTCCCAGGTAAACTCTGGGTTCTGTCAGGTAGATCCTCAGTGCGACTCCTCTGACTTCCTGTCCTGCAGGCAGCCCTGGACTTCCTGGTGGAGGAGAAGCTAAAGGCTCGAGTCTCCTGCTGGTACATAAAGAAATACCTTGATGAGCAGCCGCAGCAGCAGTATAAAGACTTCATTATCTCCTGACTGCAGCCGATGACTCCAGCAGTCTCTTCATAACCGACATCAGAATCGACTCTACAGGACCAGTGATGTGTTGCGTAGAAAATCTCTGCAAATTTTTATAATTTATTTTTTATAATTTCAAATATTTGTACAATTTATTCTTACTTGTAAGATTTAAATTAATTAAAAACATAAAATCAAAGCACATTTTCATCATTAGAGGCAGAAATAATTTGCTAAAATCCAGCAGGAAGTGCAGTTGTTGTCACTTTCATGTAAAGGAAAATGGCCGCCATGCCAAAGCCTTTACATTGCACAAAAACAAAACTAGTAAGTTAAGATTTTAAATAACAAACCAGCACAATGTAGAGCTGCTGTGAGGAAAAACAAAAACAATCTCCCTCCTGCTACTTCCTGTCTTTTTGTCGTTTTCGCCTGTAGTAACATCCGGCTGCTGATCACTTGACTGACGCCGAACGTTTCCATTAGTTTTTAGAAATGCATCCATTTTAATATGGCTGAAAATTCACTTCATCATAAAGCAAAAGGTTATTTAATTGAAAAACTTTTTTTTTTGTAAATTAGCGTGAGTTTGATGAATTTATTTTAGTAATTTTACGTTGCGTAATGTTGTGGTTAAAGGAAACGGTGTGGTCACAGTTATTGACCCAAATATTGAATACGGGCCCAGATTTCCAGAGGAGCTCCATGAAAGAAGACAGAAGTCGTGGTTTCCGTTCTCCCGTGTTTATTCATTCATCAGCGCGGCGCCCGGACGACGCGTCCCGCCGCGGCGTTCAGACGTCACACAGGTGGAGCAGGTCGCGGGAAACGGCCAGGATGATTACAGTCCACATCATTTTGGTTCCATAAATACAATTTCCACATAATTTTTCCTGGAAGTCACTGATACCAACAACGGCTGACTGATCCAGCTGCTAACGTGTGTGTGTGTGTGTGTGTGTGTGTGTGTGTGTGTGTGTGTGTGTGTGTGTGTGTGTGTGAGAACAATAGAGAAACAGAAGTGTGGGAATATATACAATCTGAACTGTAATGGTGCTTTTTTTCTCTTAACACTGCAATAAGGGGACCAAGCAATTTTACACAAAGATTTGTTGCTGCGTTTGTTTCTGCCGGATCGTTTCCCGACCGGGTTTCATTCCATGTATGTGGGGGAGCTGGGAGACGGCGGCATCTGATCCAGGATCCTGCAGACGTATCCGGCCACGTCCACAGAGCGCTCCTCGTACATCTGGATGAACGGGTCTCTCTGGAGGTTAAGGAAAACAGAGAAATGAAAACAAACTCTAACCTTGACATAGATTAAATAAACCTAAACCTACCAGCAGCTCTCTGTACTTCGGCCTCTTGGATTCATCCTTTGTAAGGCTGCGAACGACAAAGAAAAGCGCCAGTTCCCATCTGTGTCCAGCAGAGGGCAGAAGCGGTTACTGTGTTTCAGTTTTCTCACCACACGTTGACAAAGGAGATGAACTTCGGGGAGAAGCGCCTCTCGTCCGAGTTGCTGAGCTGCGGCGGATCTCCTCTCACCACCTGAGTCAGCTGGTCGAACACGCTGTTCCACTTCGGATAGGGGAACCGTCCTGTGGCCAGTTCATACTGACACACACACACACACACATAGACACACATGCAAACACACACACATAGACACACACACACACACACACACATAGACACACACACAGACACACACACACACACATAGACACACACACCACATTATCATATTTAATGAGGTTTACTGCATAACAGTAAAACAAACTTCAATCTGATTTTGGTTAAAATCCCCTGGGATTAACTGATGCTTCGCGCAAGAAACACAAAACTTCAGTCCAACACAATAAGATCCAACATAAAGATATTATAATGCAGGGAGACGTTTTACTCCCAACATCCGGTTCTGATAACTGACACCATTTATGGACAGACCAATGAGGACAAACAGACGGATTGACGGGTCAATGAATGTTTTCGTGACGGTTTCATGTCGTTGGGTGAATAAAACGTCTCCGATCAGTTTTGTTGCCATAACGCAGGAAGCTGATGCTGACCAGATTTCAGGATAATCTGATTATTTCACCCAGCAGAGAATCTGCCATCAGAAACCAACAATGAGCTGCAGAAGATCTTTAGTGAGGCAGAGTGGCCACGAACAGACGCTGACTGACCGGACCTCAACCTGCTGCTGCCGGACCTCAACCTGCTGCTGCCGGACCTCAACCTGCTGCTGCTGGACCTCAACCTGCTGCTGCCGGACCTCAACCTGCTGCTGCCGGACCTCAACCTGCTGCTGCCGGACCTCAACCTGCTGCTGCCGGACCTCAACCTGCTGCTGCCGGACCTCAACCTGCTGCTGCCGGACCTCAACCTGCTGCTGCCGGACCTCAAACCTGCCGGACCTCAACCTGCTGCTGCCGGACCTCAACCTGCTGCTGCCGGACCTCAACCTGCTGCTGCTTGACCTCAGCTCTGGCTCTACCCATCAGTGTTTCCCCAGATGCTCTCTGGGAGCAGAAAAGCAGGATAAACTCACCAGTGTGATTCCCAGACTCCAGACGTCGGAGCGAACGTCGTAGCCCTGCCTGGAGGCGCTGGGGTCGATCCGCTCCGGCTGGAGAAACGTCACAAACACAGTCAATCCTGGGAAAGTCAATGTTTTGCATTATTCTGGACTTTGGAAAGCAGACGACATGATTTATGAGCATGAAGGTTTTCATCTGCAGCCCGCAGGATGCCTCATCCTCTCTCAGACATGCAGCTTTGTCCTCATTCTGCAGAGCAGCTGCAGCTGAGAAAGTGAGCGCAGGAAGCGCCTTACTGGCCTAGTTAAAGACCTGAAATAGCTGCTCAGGTCAGCCAGCAGATCCGGCTGCAAGGAGTCGAACATCTGATCACAGCAAATCATACCGAGATAATATATGGATTTTATGGATCTGGTTCTGCAGATCCTGACGGATCTAACTGGTCTTCAGCAGAAACACTGAATCCATTTACATCAGCCTGAAACACTTTAAACCTTTAAACAAGTCAGACTCATTTCTGCCTTTGTTTCTGCCCAAAATGACTGATTTTGTAGAAATTTTGTTTTTATAAGTTTCAAAGTCGGCGGCGCAGCACTCTTACCGCCATGTACGGCCTGCAGCCGGCGTCTCTGGTTTTGGCGATGGAGTCCACCAGCTGGCCGCTGATGCCGAAGTCGCAGAGCTTTATGTTTCCGTTTCTGTCCAGCAGGATGTTGGACGGCTTGATGTCTGAGCGAAGAGACGGACGGTGAGCAGCGAAGAGCGAACGACTGAAACCAGAGCAGCTGGGAGTGCTTACCTCGGTGGATTATCTTCAAGTTTTCTTTCAAGTGGTTTAGTGCCTTCACAGTCTGCAGAACAAAACCAGGAGTTAGCAGATTATATTGAATCAAAGCAAACAATAAAACGCAGAAACAAACTTACAGCTAAAGTGATTTTTCCTAATATCTCCTCTGGAATCACGTCGTCTAACGAGCCGTATACAAACTTGTAAAATTTGTCTAATGAGGTAGCCATGAGTTCCATGCAGATCCAGCAATCGCCCTGAAACAAACACAGGACATCAGATCATCTGCAGGACAAACGAAGCGTTTCAGTCCCAGAATGAGTCTGACCTCTCTGAACAGAGCGCCGTAGAACTGGACGATGTACGGACAGTCGCTGCTTCTCATCACCACGTCCAGATCCATCAGCAGCTGCTTCTGCTCCTTCTCATCCACCGTCGACCGAATCCTCTGAGAAAAACAAAATCAGGCAAGAACGATGACGCCAAACTCTAACCCCATAAATCAGTTTAAAACATCTTTTTAAAAATCTTTATTGCAGAAGATTTTTAATCTGGATGACAGAATTATTATTACTGCAGATTAAACATGAAACTGAAATATAATCGATTAAGAGGAAAATATGTGTTTGTTTTGTTAAAGAGGATATTTTACAGGAGATGCATGATAAATGTAGATATAATTTGGAAAGATTGTAAGATGTGACAGAAGGAGACCCGGTGAAATAAGCAACAAATCAAAAGATAAATTAAAACAAACTCAATAATTTCCATTAGAATGATTTTTCATTTCTCTCCTTCTACCAAAAACTGGATGATAAGTTTTCAGTTTGGCGTTTTGTCTCAACCAGTCGTTTTATAACTCATGTTATTTATTTATGTTGTAAATTTAAAATATCTTGCAGCTCAGAGTTAAATTAGAATTTAAAGCTTATTAATCTTTGAGACTGTTTTATTTCCTTACTGGCCTCAAAATGACAAAATTATTGTTCATCATAAGTTAATTTGTTATCAATGATAACTGTGTAACTGAAGAAGCTTTGTCTTATTCCTGTTCCTTTTGGAACCTAATATGGAAGTTTCTTTTTTATTGACATTTTTGGTTTTCTTCTTTTATTTTTGCTGTGATCTTTACTTGTCTGAAATAAAGATTTCATTTCATTTTTCCTCCTTCAGCGTCGTTCGCTCACCTTCACGGCCATGATCATGTTGCTGGGTTTGTGCACCATCTTGTTGACGGAGCCGTAAGCCCCTCGGCCGATTTCGCCCAGATCCTTCAGATCCTCGGCGGTGAAGTCCCAGTGCTGCTCCGGGGAAATCTTCAGCTTCCCCGAAGACTCGATGCTGTGAGTCCTCAGCCTCTCTCTGGAGAAACAACAGTCACTGAGCTGCCAACACGGCCGGGTTAACAGCAAGGGCGCTCACTCACATGTGTGGGTTCTGAAACGGAGGCCCGGCCGTGTTTAGGGAGAATCTGGTGGAGGGTTTGATGGACGGGTTGGCGAAGTTCAGCTTCAGCGCTTTGCGTTTACCTGAGCGGCAGGAGAAAGTTTTACAACCACAACAAACACAAAGAGCCGAGCAAAACGAAAACCAGTCGTCCAAAAGGAAAAGCAGGAATGTTAAATGTGCAAAATCCACAAAATGAGACAATAGGAAGATTAAAAGATGAGTACAGGAAGATTTACTAAAACAAGGATGGAATGATTTCCAGAGAGAAGGGGCGTGAGAAGCAAAAAGCTGCAGATCAGAAAGATCATCAGCTGTAGATGATGCCGTTTAAAAACATTCATAAAATAAGACTCAACTGTCATGTGAGAATCAATACACTGAATATTAATATTCTATTTGATTAAACTGGGAACTCTGGAAATAGTTTCTTGCTCACATTGTTGCTACATTAGGCTTCATTAAATAGCCATAAAATAATCATAAATCAGGAAGATGAACTGGACTAACCAGCTAAAAATGTTTTTAATTTCTTGAAGTGTTCATTCATTCACTCTGCAGACAAAACAATTTAAACAATTTAAAGTTTTAAACCAGCCACTAGCCGCCAGCACTGCTAGCTAACTGTTCAACTAGCCACCAGCACTGCTAGCTAACAGCTCTACTAGCTGCCATCACTGCTAGCTAACTGTTCCACTAGCCACCAGAAATGGTAGCCAACTGCTCTGGTAGCCACCAGCAATGCTTGCTAGCGAATCAGATTTTGCCCCAAAAAACCCCCAAACTATAATAATTCAATGAAATAAATGCAAAGTCATTTCAATTTAAGAAAACAGCATGACTGTCAGATGCTATGAGATACAAATGGTAGCATGTTTCTGCTAATGCTAACATTAGGGCTAGCTTTACTGTGATAACGACAATGGATTAAACTGGTTTCATTCAGACTATTTATGTTCACATTTTGAGTTGCAAGCTGGAAACTGTCAGAGCCACATCTAACTAAAGCTAATGCTAAACTTAGCATTAGCATAGTATTAGTGTTAGCATGTTTTCCTAAAACTACTGTCAAAGGTCTAGTGTTAATGTAAAGTTGTGTCAGATTTATGAAATTGCTAACGTTGAAACCTGCATGTTAAACATGTTAATGTTAGCAAAGCTTATGAAGTCCCAAGCTAATAGTTTTATCATATTAAAAGTGTTAGCATACTAATGTGCAGAGGTTTAAAAACTAAAAATACATTTTTAAAAAATCATAACATTAATTATAGATCTTGTTTGATGATCTGAAACTTTAAAAGTGTCTAAAAGAAATGAAAAAGAAGCGAATCCTTTTATCTACTTAGCATGTAGCATCTATATAAGAATCAAAATGGTGGTGAATGAGTGAACATTTCAAAACCAGCATCTGCTGCAGGACCGTTCTACTTTATAATCTTCAGATTTTTAATAGCATTAGAATATTTATCACTTCATTTGCACCCCGACTCTTTGTAACAAAAACAGCACAGCATGCTGAACTTCACCCTGAATGCAAACACAAAGTGGAAAAGTAAACAAGAAACAGAGCTAAACATATAAAAACATTATGATGGAAACATGCAAGACTGACTGCTTTGATTTCACCTTGAATCGAATGTTTGCACCACCCAAACACCACAGGAATGTGTGCAGGAATAGGCCAAACTGCGCTCGAAATGACAACTTCAGTGTTTTCACCAAACACAAGAGGATAGCTGGAGTGGACCCACACCCCAAATACCAGAAACAAAACGGGACAAGCAAACACTTGTGTTGCTTGTTAGTTGGACACTGGAAACCACAGAGTTAGAGTTGGAAGAGTGGAGCTGGCAGAGGCCTCCATCAGGAGGAGCAGCCAGAGATCTGCTGGGAGCCACACCTGAACGCTAGCTGAGACATTCAGGGCAGATCTGCTGTTCCTGTGCATGCTGCAGCTATTTGCATGGAGTCAGTGCAATCTGTGGAGCCCAGCTGCTGGTGGTGCAGGCCTGAGGACCAGCGGGGTGATTAGGCTGGGATTAGTGGAGAACAGCAGGACAGACTCCCTCCATACCAAAGAGTCAGGCGGAAAGAAAGAGAGGAGTGCTGTTGGTGCTGAAGCAAAAGAAGTTTGGCTTACTTGGGTGAGCTCCAGACAGGTTTATCTGAAACCCTAGAGGTGAAAAGAAAGCTTTTATTCTTTTTAACAATCCTCAGGAGACTACTTTGTCAGTTAGACATCCGAGTCTGTTGCTTTAAATTTGTCTCTTTGGTTTTACGGCTCAGGTTTAAAACATATTCTCAGAAATCTGTGTTGCTCTGCAGCGTTATTAGAGCTTCTGGAGGATCTTTTTGCAGACAGAATGCATTTGATGAAAGGAAATGCATTAGCATGCACCTGTAAGTCTGCTGCAGACAGTGGACCGAGATGAAATGGAGGTAAAGGAGAGGAAGACATGAGCAGCAGGTAAAACAAAACAAAAAGGATCACAAGGAGAGATGGAAGAAGCATTTCAGATGGAAAAATGCTTTTAATTTTCTCCGGACAGCTCACCATCGGTCAGCATCACATCAGGAGTTAGGAAGCAAAAATTAAGCAGCATTAAGAAACGAAACAGTCAGAGGAACATAAACCACATCAGGACTAACTAACTGTCACATCATTCAGAGAATTAAGCTACATAAATCACAGCTAATGAGGAATTTATTAATGCCATCGTGAAGCTTAGCTGCAGCAATCAAAGAGCATATTTTTAAAAATAGAAAGTTATTACTACTTTGAAGCAGGTGAGTGACAGCAGTGTGTGTACCTGTTTCACTCTGACATCTCCAGCAGGTGTTGGACTCTGAAAGTTAAAACAGGCAGAGTTTGCATAGAAATCAGAACCGTGGCACAGTCAGCAGAATCCGATTTAATCTGGACTGAAACAAAAAGCGGCTCCAGTTTCAGCAGCGACTCGACTCAAAGCTTCAAATCCGCTGGGAAATATTAAAAACTCACCAAACTCAATTTTAAAGGCTTTAACACAGATTCATTTAAGCTGGACTTTAAGTTTAACCAGGCTAATCCTCCACTCTTACAGTCACAGCCCAGGTTCATACAGTTTAATTCACGCAAGTTTATTATAAATTACTACAATCCACACTAACCCAGAAAAGATTTGAATCCAACACAGATTAAATCCACTTTAATTCCAGTTCAGTTCACACACAAACACAGTTAGCTTCCAGTTTAACTCATTCAGGTTGAAGCGGATCAGATCAGGATCCCAGCTGGACTGGCTCAATTATTTCCATTTTGGGTCCAATTCAATCCTGTTCCACTGATCAGTTATAATCAATTATAGTTCAGATCATTCTGACCTCATTCAGCCAAATGCAATAAATATTAATTGAGAGAAACAGTAAATAAACGGGGATTCTGTCAGAGACATTGTAAACGCAGAACCTCACACTCGCAGTGGATCTCCCGGATCATCTGTTCCCTCTTATGTAATTAAAAAGCTGCTAACTCATTGTGCAAAATGTGACAGATCCGTCAGTGCAGGGTGTAGCCTCCCGGGTTAGCCGCGCTAGCTTCACCTTCACGGCAGCGGACCCGGAGCCTCCCCGCTTACCCTGCATGCCGCTCATCGTTGCGGAGTGCTGGGACTGCTGCGGCGGCTGGTAGAGGTGCGTGACGGACCCCGCGTTGCTGCTGCCGTGGCTGCTGCCTGTCGTTGAGCCGTTTGGACCAGGAGTCGCCATTGTGTGTTTGAATTCCATCAGCAGCGCCAGGGGCTGCAATGCAGAGGCTCGAACCGTAACTTCCCTCCCTGTTCCTCCCTGCTGCTGGGGAATCAACGCTGACGGCGCTGAGCCCCGCGAAACCAAGCAGGCGGCGAAGGACGAAAAGTCCGTGAAACGGAGAAACACGCGCGGAGGCTCGGGGGGCTGCGGGAGAGGCGGCTATGACACAAACAAACTCAGCTAAGCTAGCAGGGCAGGCTAACAATCAGCTGACATTTCAACACCCACTGACTGCAGTAAGCGAGGAGGGACCGGATGTTTTGTAGCAGCTCTTTCAAAATAAAACACAAAACCAGCATGCAGTAAATTCAGCGCATTTTTACTCAAGTAAAATTAAAAAGTATTTGGCAAAAGGTTACTGCAGTACCGGGTGACTGATTATTTGAGTCAACATTTAAAGAATGTAATACAATGCTTATATGGAAATGTATTTTAGATCCTAAAATAAAATAAATTACACAAATTATCATTACTAAATATTAAACTCAGCAGGAAGAAACACCAGTAATGTATGTTATATCACGGTAAGTAGTGAAAACTGTTCACTCCAGCTTCCAACTTCAAAGGATTTCTTACATTTATTTCTAAGCTATTTGTTTGTTTTCAAATGTAATTTTTTTGTTCTTTTTAATCTGTCACATTTCTCTGATATTGTTTTTTTTTATCTGTTCCTTTGTTTTGCTAGCAGTTCATTATAGTTTCCTTAACCATAGCAATATTTTGCTGTATTTTATTGAATTTATATTGCGTTTCATTTTCTTTGTCAGTGGGAAATAGTTCAGATTTGCTAAACAAACTGCCTTTGATGTGATTTGACAACAAATAACATTTAAAAAGTATATTACTATATGTTATCAGTTATTTTATCCTTCTTTGGTTACCAATTTTGTGACAACTTTTAATTGTGATTGGATGTTATTCACAGCAGACGCCATTATGACGTATTTCCGCAAAGTTTGTAAAAGAGCAGAATGAGATTTATTGAATCATTTGCGTCAGATATAAAGATCATTACCATATTTATCAATTTTCTATTAATTCAACATAGAAATGTTCTCCACCCCGCATGTTCCAGCTGAAGAAGTGAAAATCGAACGCACCCTCGTCAGTGCAGCGACGGGAGGTGCGTCTGCTGAGTATCGTCTGTACGTCCCGGAGGCCCGGGCGGGGAGGAGGAGAAAAGGGACGATTCCACACAACGATGGGAGAAGTTTGTGAGAAGATCTCGTGTCTTTCCACAGTTTGGCGATTAAGTAACGTTTTAATGTGTGTGTTCTTTACTCTGGCTTCCTATGTGCAGGTAACGCTTGATAAATGAGTGTTTGCTCTGGTTTTGCTCTTTTCATGGTCATAATGTGAAGCGTTGATCTTTCAGATCAATGATCCAGACGCAGGTTTATGGATGGTAGGTACAGCGGCTGCGCAGTATTTTCCCCGGGTTGCAGGGCGAACTTGACGTGTTTCTGCTCCAGGTGGGTTATGCAGTTCCTGCTGTCCTCTGTGCGGTTATTGGCTTCAGACCTCGTGTCACAGGTAGGCAGGAGAGTCTCACAGAAACTACATCCTGTTTTGCTCTCTTCAGGAGAAGTCATTGGACTCTGCACCGTTACAGAACATTTATTAGTTCTAACATCGCCATCTGTTGGCTGACATGGTTACATCACAGCTGCTTTTTGTATGTTTTGTTTCTGTTTCTTAATTCCAGAAACTTTGGCCTGGAGGCGCGTTGCTGATCTCCACCTGATGGTCTCCAGCGCAGCCATCTTCATGTTAGCATGGAAACTTTACACGCAGCGAGCGACGCAGATCTTCCAGCAGGAGGAGGGCAGGTGTGCTGAGGCTCCTGTCAAAAAGAAAATAAAGATATAAAGAGTATAAAGGTTAAAATAAATTAAAAAAAGCTGTGACATAATCCAAAATAAGTTTGTCTTCAGAGCATAAAATCTGTTCAGAGTCCCAGCACAGAAATGGAAAGTTAAGTAGAAGGAAAAAGTCTGGTATTAATACACATAACAGTAATTGCTTATCAAATATTTGGTAAAAATAAGCCTGTCGGCCAATTAAAGACAGAAGTAATGGATTAATATCTATTAATAATCTCCTTTTGCTTTCCAAATTCCCTCTTTAGAGAATTTTCTGGTCTTATGTTGACGGCTGTTTGGCTTCTTTTGTGTCGCCGCTCTGGAAGGTAATTTGCTCTTTAACTCAAGTTTAATTTGAGTTTCTGATAGATTTTGACTCTGCTGTGTTTTTCCTCAGCGCTCCGGTCGGGAAGCTGCGCGTCTCCACAGCTGTGGCCATCACAGTTTTCCCCATTGTGTCTTGGCTTTACTACCATGTCAATAAGGATCTGCGGTCAGACTGGCCGTCTCACTGTAAAACTGCCATTTAGAGCAGCTTCACCTGCCATAACATTCCTTCCTTTGCCAAAGAAGTACTCATTTTTGTAGATCTATATATTGATTACACCAAAATTATGTTAATCTCAAGGTAACTTTTGTTGGATGTTGTTTTTTTCAAAATGTGTAAATAACTAACCTGTATAAAACAAGGTCTATTTTTTCCATCTGCACTACTTTGTTTTTACTTTAGGGGGCAGAAAAGAGCTCCCAGGCTTAAAAGTGAAGACTGAAGAAGATTAAATTAATCAATCAATCAATAAAATAAAATAAATAATACTGTTCTTTTTGATTGTCTAATATGTGGTTTAATTAGGTAGCCGTTTGATATCCGCATTTCCCCTCCTTTCCATGTGGTGGCGGTATTGCGCCGAAGCAGCGTCGCCGTTAAACAAGGAGAAGAAGACACGTCTGAACCGCCTGATCCCAGATCAGTTTGCTCAGACGTTAAAGTTCTAACTTTGACGTCACACTGACCCCAGAACAGCCGTTCAGGCTCATGTAACTTCCGGATGTTAAGCAGTAGCGGTTCCGTAAAGGTTAAAGCCAACATGAGCGCTCTGTTCCAGAACCTGGGCTGCTGGCTGGTTCAGAGTAAAGCCCTCCAGAACCGAACCGTCAGACTCGCTCACAGTTTAAGTGGAAGGGAAGCCGGGCGGAAACACGCGCTGTCTGCGCGGACTGAGCTCTGCTACCTGGTAGGTCAAAGCTTCCGCCGAACTCCATAGAAGAAACTGGCAAATTAGCGCCGATTTCCATTTGACGTACAATTAAGTGAAAATGTAGACTTTATTGTAAGTGCAACTTTATCTGTGTAATCCTCCTCAAAATTCGGCGGTGTCATTTTGTACATTAATTCATAATTTTATTTGTTAAAATTGCTTTCCACGAAAAACTGGATATGGTGATTTATAAAAAGCTTTTGCCATATTGCACCTGTTTCTTTCAGGTGATCGCCAGCCGGTGGCACAGCTGCAGAGGAACACAATGGCTGAAGCTTCACAGCTCCAGATCGGTTTCCTCTCTGCCCTCATCAGGCGACAAGTCCAAGAAGTCAGGGGTAAATCTTTTAATGTAAAAAAGAAACTTTGTTTCCAACTTTGTGCTGCACATGTAAGCAGCAAGTTAGTTCCAAGTTATAAAAACACAAAAATCAAAAGTCATTAAAGTGACATAGGTCACCAATTGACAATAATAACAAAAATCCAAATTTTAGGGTAACAAAAAGCGAGCCCACAGCATGATGATTCCGCCACCATGTCTTACAGTGGATGTCGTTATTTTTTTGTGATAAATATTTGGAAATATGCCCTGAAATCTCAGGTTTTCCTGTGGGGTTTTGGGAGATTGTCTTGGGGATTTTTGCTCCTGTGAGTGTGAAGCTCATTCATCAGGGAGCTGATTGTTGGTTCATGTTTCCCATCTGAACATTTCAGCCTGTGACATGGAAATCTTTAGCGGTCACGTTTGCTATCGGAGGAGCTCTGCTGGGAGGGATGAAATATTTCAAGAAGGAAAAAGAGGAGTGTGAGTAGCTCGGCGTATAAAGTGGCACTAAAAACTTGGACTCTGATTTTCTCCTGCCGATTCAGGAGGAAACGGTTTGGATTATGTTGGAAAAAGTGTTTTTGTGCATAGAGGATGGCGCGTTGATCTGTGTCTTGCCGTTTTGCCTGCCAGTGATTGAGAAGGAGAGGAACAAGTCGCTGGGCCGGCCGGCGCTGGGCGGCCCGTTCTCCCTCATCGATCACAACAACAAACCGTCCAGGAGCGAGGACTTCCTGGGCCGGTGGATCCTGATTTACTTTGGCTTCACGCACTGCCCAGACATCTGCCCCGACGAGATCGAGAAGATGATCGAGGTGGTGGATGAGATAGGTGATCACTTGAGTTTTCAAACAGGGCTGCAGGCTGAGGTTTGCGGCGTTAACAGACTTCCTGTTTGTATTTCTGCAGACAGAATCAAGAGTCTTCCCAACCTGACGCCCCTCCTGATCACCATCGATCCGGACAGAGACACTGCAGAGGCCATGGCTGCGTATGTGAAAGGTACCGGAACACGCATCCGCAGTTATTACTCCTGATGTCAGGAGTTGATCAGTTTGTTTGTGTTTCAGTCTTTAGCTGCATGTTCAGGATTTCTAATCTATTTTCTGATAAATACTGGACATTTGCTCTAGATGAGTCAGAAGATAAGTAAACTAGAGGTCTCAGCATCTGTGATCCTTTCTTCACAGAATCATTTCAAACTCCACCTGATGATTTGATGCTAATGAGTTAAAAGTATTTTTATTCAATTGAATCAAACTTATACTAAAGTAACTTCATGAGATGTTTAACTTTCCTCATTTTTATGCTGAGTTCTCATAAAATTACTACTTTATTCTCTGACTATTGAACCTTTTTTTTTTCATTATTTTGACTTTATTGTTGTAAGATTGTACCCTGGTAACGTAATGATTTTATGATATGATGAATATTTAATTGTAGAATTGACCTGAATTTAAGTACAACTAAAACATGAATGAGAAACAAGAACATTACTGGGTCAAAAATATCAATTTTCCAAAAGTTCATTCTCAAAAATTAAATTAATTAATGAAGTAACTTTTTTCATTTTGTGGCGGCTGCAGAGTTTTCCCCGAAGCTGATTGGGCTGACGGGGTCGGCGGCTCAGGTGGAGCAGGTGTCCAGAGCGTACCGCGTCTACTACAGCCAGGGGCCGAAGGACGAAGACAACGACTACATTGTGAGTCCGGCGCCGCCGCGTTCTGGCGCCGCCGCGTTCTGGCGCCGCCGCGTTCTGGCGCCGCCGCGTTCTGGCGCCGCCGCGTTCTGGCCGAGCGTCTAACCGGCTGCTGTCGCCCGCAGGTGGATCACACCATCATCATGTACCTGGTGGGACCTGACGGAGAGTTCGTCGATTACTTTGGGCAGAACAAGCGCAGCGCGGAGATCAGCAGCGCCATCGCAGCTCACATGAGGAAGTACCAAAACCAGAAGCGATGAGGGGGCGGGGCTTAAAGCCCGGCATGAACTGACTGACCTCAGGCGTCTCACTGCTGCTGTCTTATATTATTACTTTGTGTCTTTTTGTATTTATATCAGGATTTCTTCTCAGCCAATTAAATGATGTCATTCAGTTCAGGTTTCCTGAGGGGGGGGTGAATTCAAGACACTAGCAGTACTTCCTGTTTACATCCAGAGGTTTTGGCTCCACCTACAGGTTGGGAAACAGACGTTTTTTCTTCTCTGAGGACGTTGTTGACTCCAGTCCTTAGGGTCGCCGTCCTGCAGTTTTTAGATGTGCCTCAGGTACAAAACACAGGAATGAAATGGTTTAATTACCTCCTCCTGGTTCTCCAGAGCCTTAATCACCTAATTATTGTATTCAGGTTGATGCAGCAAAGGCTCAGATAAAAGTTGCAGGACACCGACCCTGCAGGACTGGATGTCGACACCCCTGCTCTAGTGGACGGACAGAGAGTCGAACCTGCGACGGTGCGACGCCGACTAAGGGTTGTGCTAAACCGCCACAGCGCGGCCCACGGAAACATCAAAGGTTTCTTCAGTTTTGAGAATCTGTTAAGTTTTTTTATTTGCAGGAAGTGCTTTAAAGCTTATTTATGTCAAATCTTGAGTCTTTTTCAGTGATTCAAATGCTTAATAAAATTAAAAATGATAGTTTAGTTCATGTGAGTTTTAAAATTCGGCCTATCCAACGTTTCCATCAGTCTGACAGGACGGACCGTGGCAACCTGTGACCCGGCCTTGTTGCTCTCAACAACAAAGTTCATGTATTTTGAATTTTCAGACAGAAGATGCTTTCAAAATATCTACAGAAACATTCATGTTATCAGTTTTTATTGCCTTTTTAACCTGTTTTTTTTTTAATTATTGCTTCATTTTCAGTTCCAAATTTCATGTACAATAAACTTACCCAAAAATCTTCTGTCTAATGGGTTAAAATGTGCATTTATGATCATAAAAAATGTTAGATTTAAAAATTACTGAGCTTCAGCTATGAAACTAAACCTGTTTAGTTAAATAATAGACTCTAAAACATGAAAAATCACTCAGAAAAAATAATAATCTACCTCCAAATCCTGACATCATGTCGGATTAAATACGATACTGCACGTCACTTTTCCAAAAATGTATCAGTTAATTTGAATTTATTAACATAAAAGTTTTCTATGATGTCTCTGCAGGACAAATGCAACTTGTAGGACAATAATTGTTCATTTTTTCCATCAAAGCTTTTTCTGTGGCCTAATACAGAATGAAAACGAAGATTTACTTTTTACTTGTTTACTTTATTACATTAAAGCAACATACAGCCTCTGTAACAATCACTTCCTGAAGACAAGCTCCACTTTTATGTAAGTCAGGATGAGTAGAAACCACAGCGTGTCGCCCTCTGGTGGTGGAAAACCAGCTCTGCAGCAGCGTGAGGAAAATAATTCACTTGTTATTCTGAAGCGCAGAAATCAAACTTCAGTCCTGGAGGGTTAAGATGAACCTCTGTTGCACCGGAACTGAACTCATTAAGGTTCTGGAGAACCGATCCACACAATACGGAGGAAATGAAGCCGTTTCATTCCAGTGTTTAGTCCCTGTGGCCCATCCAAAACCTGCAGGATGGCCAGTGGGAGGGGCCCCGGAGGGAGGGCCCTCCCACTGGGAGGTGATGTCTGCCCGCTCTCCTGCCTCCTCTCCTGCCTCCTCTCCTGTCTCCTCTCCTGCCTCCTCTCCTGTCTCCTCTCCAGCCTCCTCTCCTGCCTCCTCTCCAGCCTCCTTTCCTGCCTCCTCTCCTGTCTCCTCTCCTGCCTCCTCCAGCTCATGCTGAACCTTCCTCAGTTTGCTCAGATGGCAGTTCGCTCGCTCTTCCTGTAAAACATAATAAATGAACCCGGCAGATGATGGAGCGAGGCGACTCACCGCTTCCTCAGCCTGCAGCTTGTCGGCTTTGACTTTCAGCTGCAGTTTGTCCACCAGGTCCTGCAGCCTCGTTGCGTTCTTCCTGTCCTCCTCACACTGGGTTTTATTGCACACAGGAAGTTATGGATCAGCACAGCTTTAAAAATAAACACTGCAGGTTCTTCTTACCTGCAGCTCTGTCACCTGAAGAATGAGACCAACGACCAAAGTTTCTGTTACCTTAGTAACTGCTTGGAGTAAATAGTTTATTATTATTTATTATTTTCACTACGCTGAACATTTTACTTTTACTGGAGTAAAATATGTGAAAGTAGAGCTGCTCTTGCTGGAGGTACTCTGTCCTCTGGGACTCGCATGTCTGATGTCTCAGCTGAATTATCAGACATTTCTCATATTTTATCAGACATTTCTCCTGTTTTATCAGACATTTCTCATATTTTATCAGACATTTCTCCTGTTTTATCAGACATTTCTCATATTTATCAGACATTTCTCCTGTTTTATCAGACATTTCTCATATTTTATCAGACATTTCTCCTGTTTTATCAGACATTTCTCATATTTTATCAGACATTTCTCCTGTTTTATCAGACATTTCTCATATTTTATCAGACATTTCTCCTGTTTTATCAGACATTTCTCATATTTTATCAGACATTTCTCCTGTTTTATCAGACATTTCTCATATTTTATCAGACATTTCTCATATTTTATCAGACATTTCTCCTGTTTTATCAGACATTTCTCATATTTTATCAGACATTTCTCCTGTTTTATCAGACATTTCTCATATTTTATCAGACATTTCTCATATTTTATCAGACATTTCTCCTGTTTTATCAGACATTTCTCATATTTTATCAGACATTTCTCCTGTTTTATCAGACATTTCTCATATTTTATCAGACATTTCTCCTGTTTTATCAGACATTTCTCATATTTTATCAGACATTTCTCATATTTTATCACACATTTCTCATATTTTATCACACATTTCTCATATTTTATCACACATTTCTCATATCAGACATTTCTCATATTTTATCACACATTTCTCATATTTTATCACACATTTCTCATATTTTATCAGACATTTCTCATATTTTACCCTTGCTTCCAGCTTCTGGAGTTGTTTCTTCCCTCCTTTCATGGCCGTGCCTTCGGCCTCGTCGAGTCGCTGCTGCAGGTCTTTCTCCTCCAGGTTTTTCTTCATCCTCTCCAGGTGGCGGCTGCTGTCCTGCTCTTTCTTCAGCTTCTCCGCCATCATGGCCGTCCACCCGGACGCCGCCGCCGTCCACCCGGACGCCGCTGGTGTTCTGCACAGTCGCATAAACACAGAAATCTAACCAGTTTCAACTCCTAAACAGCATGAAGAGGCAGGGAAGCGTTTTTAAATCATGAGGCGATAGAGAAACGATGAACATGCAGGCGATTGGGTTTTCACTAACGCACTGCAAAAACACAAAGTCAGTCGGTTCTGATCCGTTCTGGTCAGTACTGCAGACCTTTCCATCTCTATCAGCTAATTGCTCCAAGTGAAGCTGACTGTAGTTGATCTGTTCTTCTGCAACAAGTGGAGGAGAAATAATCCCAGATAATCTCATTTTACTCCACTGCAGTCTGTTTGATCCAGAATACAAACACAGCTTTGTAACAATAGCGTTCCCTTTAAATCTTACATTAACAAAGTTATTTTTTTTATATTGAAACAATAACCTGGCCAGTGGGAACTGCTGGCAGATTTCCAGTGAAGGAAACCAGTTCAGACTGGGAGGCTGCGGCTCAGCAAACTAGAAACTCTAAAGGAAAGTTTCACAATTTTATCTTAAATAGATGAAAAGAAAAAATGAGGTAGAAAAAAAAGTGTTTTTCATTTAGTTATGTAATAATTTTGCACAAAGTTTCCAAATAAATTCCAAGAAGCTAAAATGTCACTTTTCCTTTCTTACTCATGTTAATAAACACGATTCATGAAAATAATGATGAAACAGCAGCAGAGACACAGAGCTTTGATTTTACTCTGTTTATGGGCAACATGGGGCAACATGGGGTAACATGGGGCAACATGGGGTAACATGGGGCAACATGGGGCAACATGGGGTAACATGGGGCAACATGGGGCAACATGGGGTAACATGGGGCAACATGGGGTAACATGGGGCAACATGGGGCAACATGGGGTAACATGGGGCAACATGGGGTAACATGGGGCAACATGGGGCAACATGGGGTAACATGGGGCAACATGGGGCAACATGGGGTAACATGGGGCAACATGGGGTAACATGGGGCAACATGGGGCAGCATGGGGCAACATGGGGTAACATGGGGCAACATGGGGTAACATGGGGCAACATGGGGTAACATGGGGCAACATGGGGTAACATGGGGCAACATGGGGCAACATGGGGCAACATGGGGTAACATGGGCAACATGGGGCAACATGGGGCAACATGGGGTAACATGGGGCAACATGGGGCAACATGGGGTAACATGGGGCAACATGGGGCAACATGGGGCAACATGGGGTAACATGGGGCAACATGGGGCAACATGGGGCAACATGGGGCAACATGGGGTAACATGGGGCAACATGGGGTAACATGGGGTAACATGGGGCAACATGGGGCAACATGGGGTAACATGGGGCAACATGGGGCAACATGGGGTAACATGGGGCAACATGGGGCAGCAGGGGTAACATGGGGCAACATGGGGTAACATGGGGCAGCATGGGGCAGCATGTGGCAATCTGGGGCAGCATGGGGCAACATGGGGCAGCATGTGGCAACATGGGGCAGCATGGGGCAACATGGGGCAGCATGGGGTAACATGGGGCAACATGGGGCAATATGGGGCAACATGGGGCAACATGGGGTAACATGGGGCAACATGGGGTAACATGGGGCAACATGGGGCAGCATGGGGTAACATGGGGCAACATGGGGCAACATGGGGTAACATGGGGCAACATGGGGTAACATGGGGCAACATGGGGCAACATGGGGTAACATGGGGCAACATGGGGCAACATGGGGTAACATGGGGCAACATGGGGTAACATGGGGCAACATGGGGCAGCATGGGGCAACATGGGGTAACATGGGGCAACATGGGGTAACATGGGGCAACATGGGGTAACATGGGGCAACATGGAGTAACATGGGGCAACATGGGGCAACATGGGGCAACATGGGGTAACATGGGGCAACATGGGGCAACATGGGGCAACATGGGGTAACATGGGGCAACATGGGGCAACATGGGGTAACATGGGGCAACATGGGGCAACATGGGGCAACATGGGGTAACATGGGGCAACATGGGGCAACATGGGGCAACATGGGGTAACATGGGGCAACATGGGGTAACATGGGGTAACATGGGGCAACATGGGGCAACATGGGGCAACATGGGGTAACATGGGGCAACATGGGGCAACATGGGGTAACATGGGGCAACATGGGGCAGCAGGGGTAACATGGGGCAACATGGGGTAACATGGGGCAGCATGGGGCAGCATGTGGCAATCTGGGGCAGCATGGGGCAACATGGGGCAGCATGTGGCAACATGGGGCAGCATGGGGCAACATGGGGCAGCATGGGGTAACATGGGGCAGCATGGGGCAACATGGGATAACATGGGGCAACATGGGGTAACATGGGGCAGCATGGGGCAGCATGGGGCAACATGGGATAACATGGGGCAACATGGGGCAGCATGGGGCAACATGGGGTAACATGGGGCAACATGGGTAACATGGGGCAACATGGGGCAACATGGGGTAACATGGGGCAACATGGGGTAACATGGGGCAACATGGGGCAGCATGTGGCAACATGGGGCAACATGGGGTAACATGGGGCAACATGGGGTAACATGGGGCAACATGGGGCAACATGGGGCAACATGGGGCAACATGGGGTAACATGGGGCAACATGGGGCAACATGGGGTAACATGGGGCAACATGGGGCAACATGGGGTAACATGGGGCAACATGGGGCAGCATGGGGCAACATGGGGTAACATGGGGCAACATGGGGTAACATGGGGCAACATGGGGCAACATGGGGCAACATGGGGCAACATGGGGTAACATGGGGCAACATGGGGTAACATGGGGCAACATGGGGCAACATGGGGCAACATGGGGTAACATGGGGCAACATGGGGCAACATGGGGCAACATGGGGTAACATGGGGCAACATGGGGTAACATGGGGTAACATGGGGCAACATGGGGCAACATGGGGCAACATGGGGTAACATGGGGCAACATGGGGTAACATGGGGCAACATGGGGCAACATGGGGCAACATGGGGTAACATGGGGCAACATGGGGTAACATGGGGCAACATGGGGTAACATGGGGTAACATGGGGCAACATGGGGCAACATGGGGTAACATGGGGCAACATGGGGCAACATGGGGTAACATGGGGCAACATGGGGCAACATGGGGTAACATGGGGCAACATGGGGCAGCAGGGGTAACATGGGGCAACATGGGGTAACATGGGGCAGCATGGGGCAGCATGTGGCAACATGGGGCAGCATGGGGCAACATGGGGCAGCATGTGGCAACATGGGGCAGCATGGGGCAACATGGGGCAGCATGGGGTAACATGGGGCAGCATGGGGCAACATGGGTTAACATGGGGCAAAACGGGGTAACATGGGGCAGCATGGGGCAGCATGGGGCAACATGGGATAACATAGGGCAACATGGGGCAGCATGGGGCAACATGGGGTAACATGGGGTAACATGGGGCAACATGGGGTAACATGGGGCAACATGGGGTAACATGGGGCAACATGGGGCAACATGGGGTAACATGGGGCAACATGGGGCAGCATGGGGTAACATGGGGCAACATGGGGCAACATGGGGTAACATGGGGTAACATGGGGCAGCATGGGGTAACATGGGGCAACATGGGGCAGCATGGGGTAACATGGGGAAACATGGGGCAATATGGGGCACCATGGGGCAACATGGGGTAACATGGGGCAGCATGGGGTAACATGGGGCAACATGGGGCAGCATGGGGTAACATGGGGCAACATGGGGCAGCATGTGGCAACATGGGGCAGCATGGGGCAACATGGGGCAGCATGGGGTAACATGGGGCAGCATGGGGCAACATGGGATAACATGGGGCAACATGGGCAGCATGGGGCAACATGGGATAACATGGGGCAACATGGGGCAGCATGGGGCAACATGGGGTAACATGGGGTAACATGGGGCAACATGGGGTAACATGGGGCAACATGGGGTAACATGGGGCAACATGGGACAACATGGGGTAACATGGGGCAACATGGGGCAACATGGGGTAACATGGGGTAACATGGGGCAACATGGGGCAACATGGGGTAACATGGGGCAACATGGGGCAGCATGGGGTAACATGGGGCAACATGGGGTAACATGGGGCAACATGGGGTAACATGGGGCAACATGGGGCAGCATGGGGTAACATGGGGCAACATGGGGCAGCATGGGGTAACATGGGGCAACATGGGGCAATATGGGGCAACATGGGGCAACATGGGGTAACATGGGGCAACATGGGGCAGCATGGGGTAACATGGGGCAACATGGGGCAACATGGGGCAACATGGGGCAACATGGGGCAGCATGGGGCAACATGGGGCAGCATGGGGCAACATGGGGCAGCATGGGGTAACATGGGGCAGCATGGGGCAACATGGGATAACATGGGGCAACATGGGGTAACATGGGGCAGCATGGGGCAACATGGGATAACATGGGGCAACATGGGACAGCATGGGGCAACATGGGGTAACATGGGGCAACATGGGGTAACATGGGGCAACATGGGGTAACATTGGGCAGCATGGGGCAATATGGGGCAACATGGGGTAACATGGGGCAACATGGGGTAACATGGGGCAACATGGGGTAACATGGGGTAACATGGGGCAGCATGGGGCAATATGGGGTAACATGGGGCAGCATGGGGCAACATGGGGCAACATGGGGCAACATGGGGCAATATGGGGCAACATGGGGCAACATGGGGTAACATGGGGCAACATGGGGCAGCATGGGGTAACATGGGGCAACATGGGGCAGCATGGGTAACATGAGGCAACATGGGGCAGCATGTGGCAACATGGGGCAGCATGGGGCAACATGGGGCAGCATGGGGTAACATGGGGCAGCATGGGGCAACATGGGATAACATGGGGCAACATGGGGTAACATGGGGCAGCATGGGGCAGCATGGGGCAA